TTTAATATATTGTCATTAGTGTGCAGAACAAATGTTGTTGTGATTTTATGTTGTGATTTAATTTTACATCAGCAACATGATCATAGTTACACGTAATGATTACTGATCTAAAAGTTGTTCTTGAACACAAATAAAGTAAGGATGCAAGGGAATGGATGTTCATGAAGTCCATCTTACTCATATGTAAATTATCATTATTATTGTTTTTATTAATATAAGTTGATGCATAAACAAACAGTTACATGTAGGTGTTTGGATGAAGTTTTGACATATTGAACAAACTACATTAAAAACTTAACACATGATTTCAGGTGTAGATTATGTGACTCCGCTGTGTTCACAGGTGACATATGAGGGTTTGTTAGATGAAGTATTTGGTATACAGAGTGGTAGGTATTACTTGACTTTGGGCTTGAGAAATGTAATGAAATGATTTAAACAGAATCCATTACATGATCAGGAAATATAAAAAGGAAAAAAATGATAATGACTAGTGTCTGTGTGAGTTTGTTCATGACATTATAAAAAAACTTTTCAACTTGTGCAATATCTTTGCACAATCTGGTATTAAAGGTACACATTATTATCTACCATCCTCATATTTCAGGATTTTCAATTTGCCATTGCTTTGTTCCTAAAATTGCATTCATTGAAAACTTATTTCCTGTGCATTTGCAAGCTTTGCTGTGTATTTGCATTTTTAACACTTGTGTAATGAACAGTTTCTGTTCTGCTTCTCAGGTTGTATAGAGTTTGGACATGAGGTATCTGGTAGAGACCAGCCAGTGAAGTTAATGCTGACCAGCCAGGACGAGGTCAGTAATGGGTTTTTCATTTATTTGTAATAATAATAATAATAATAATAATAATAATAATAATAATAATAATAATACCATTCGTATATTTAATACATGGATTGTTGTAGGTGAAATGGAGAACTTGGATATCATGTAAATTATTGTAATGAAATATTTACTTTCGTGAATTTCGACATGTATTTTCTTTATTTTCTCTTTCGTTGGGGTGATTCTTAAATGGTGTTTGGTATTGTCCTTTTTATAGAATATGAACTGATATGGGTTACCTGTTCAGTTTTGATGTATTTTATAAACTGTACATTTTATTTCTCTTTCATCATGCTAGTTTGTACCAAAAAGGAGGGTTTCAATTTTGTATATTCTTTTTAATGGAAGATCATTTTTATATAAGAATACACGTCTTTACTACAATTTCTTATATTTATTAACAGATTTTTGAAGAGATCAGAAATAGACATTTTACCAATGTGTTTAGTTTCTTGAGTGGAAAAGCAAAGGAAGTGCAATCTGGTTATGATGTGAGTAAATTTGTTTTTGTTTTACTCTTTAAAGACATTTGAAAAATCCAAATAAGCAGAGATGAGTAACCTTGCCAACACTCACATAGATTAAAATTGTATTTCTGTTGAAGATTAATTGTTGCTTGATTTGATATCTGCTTTTATCTAAGCTTGCTGTATTTTCAGTAGAAATCTGGTGAATGAAAGTGGTGCTCACTTCACAAATTATTTTTTTTATGAAGTAAGGTTAAGTAATGAAAATGACTTGAATTCCAGAAAAGACACCAGTTAGAATCGGTGCGTGACATGAAGGATTTTGTAGCAAATGACTTGAAGGATCTTAAACAGCAGCATAAATCTTTGGCTCTGTGTAAGTATGTACCCAGCACACATCCATATGCATTACTCAATATTTGATATATATTGAAATTATAAAGTATTTTAGAAAAGGGCACATCATTTGCCTGATTTGATAGAAAGTGTAGATGTGGTCCTGATCTTGGAATTCCAAGAATTCTCATAAATGGATCTGAAAATGATACTCTCCTAACACTTTCTACTTGTAATTAGTAAAAAAGTTACTATGACAGGGCACATTTTCCCTCTCATTTCAGTTATTGGTGCCAGTGAGGTGATCATGAGCAGGAAGACTAAAGGGATTGATTTTGAAGAACTTCTGAGAGTAGAATACAGTAAGCACTCCTCTTAGTAAGATAACCAGGTCTTATATAAATATAATGATTTGCAAAATCATTTAATTTTCATTTTACAGTAAGTATGACTAGGGGTTCCAGCACTTTAAAAATTTAACTGGATGATTGGAGTATTTGGTCCCAACTCAGCATACTCAGTTAATTTTATTACTGATCAAGGTAATAATTGATAATAATAATAATGGATTAATCTATACTAAATTAAGTTTTTTTCCTTAGGATAGAGCATTATAATTTTGTTTCTTGCTGCAATATAAAATGTTTTTTGTTTTTTCTTTTACAGATATGTTGGAAGGAGTCAGTAGAACAGAGAGTATAAATTATATTGAAGAAAGACTCAACAGACAGGTGAAATTAACTTGTGATGGTTTACAAATTTTAACATTTAATTGTCATATGTGATGAACTTAAAAAATGCTGTGGATTTTCAAATTATTAATTTTAAGCTCAAATGAGAAATAAAATGAAAGAATGGATGCCTTTATGGGCTGTTAACATTGATTTTTTTGAAATTTTTGATAATTCTAGTTTAATTGTCTGCAAACATTAAGGCTGCTCTGTTTACTGTCACTCACACAAGATGGAATCCCTCCCAAAGAATACAAGTCACTGAAAACTCAGTTTCTTCATGTAAGTATATAGCAGGTCTTTACTATTTTAATTTTATTTTCTATGTATCAGATGTTTTATATATTTTGTAGCTGGTTGCAGATCTCATGTTTTTAAATGCTTGCATACCTTGTTCTATGTCTCTGTATTTCTTGTCCCAATAACTATATTCCTAACATAAAAGAGTATAATATGTAAATTAAAAATGGTTTTCAAAATCTTAATTGTATTGCAAGTGTGAAAATATATTCAAGTGAACAAACCTGAATGTAAGATATGCAAATTTATTTACAGGCTGAAGGGTATGACTGGATGCTCACTTTTCATAATCTGAAAAAACTTGGATTGCTGAAAGAACAGGCGGACCAACACAGCTACAAGTCAATAGGGGGCAGTAAGGGAGGCAAGGGGGCCAAGATGGCCGTGCCAAGCTTCGGGTCACTGACATGGAAGAGCTCATTTCAGACAGCATCAAAAAGTTTAAAACTGGTCAGTTGATTGGGGTTGGCTGATTAAGGGTATTCTGGGTACTCTGTACAAAACAGAATTTACTAGAAAATGCTTTTATAATAAAATGAATAATTTGTGTATTGTGTTTGAATTGACTTATATGATATATGATATGATACAATAGGATAATTTAAACCTGTAATACCAGTTCCTGCTTGGACTTTTGTGTTGTTAACTTATTCATAGACTGAACAGTGGTCTCTTGAATTAATGTTTATGATGTACTAAGTTAACTGTGGTAGTCTGCAGATGCTAAGCCTTACAGCGTTTAAATGATATCTTACTATATAGCTCTGATAGCTCTGTGAGCATATTTTTTTTTTTTTTTTGGTTATTCAGATATTTATTGATAATTTTTTTTATTTAGATTCCTAAAGATACAGAAAACCTGGACCTGCGGTTCCCCACTGATATGTCTTATGTGTTTGGAGGTGCTTACACACCTCTTAGTTGTAAACTAGTGGAGCAGGTAATGTTATATGTTAAAAAAAAAAGAACACAACACACAGTTGGAAATGTGTAAACAATATCAAATGAAAGACAATTGCATCAGATAATTGTTGTGTGATATATTTTAATTAAAGAAAATAAATAATATCTAGGATATAGAAAATGATTCAAATTCAAGTAATTTTTAAATAATACAGGATCTATGAAATTTAAATTTTCTCAGAATACTAAGTATTCACTGACTCAACAAAATTTAACTTTTAAGTTAAAATATTAAATATAAAATATAATATAAAATATAATAATATAAAATATTAAAATACCACTACAAATTATTGACCAAACTTTTGCTAGTTTTGGCAGACTTTTTGAGTATTACTTTTTTATACTACCTATGCTCTTGTTCCAGATTCTGAACAAGTGCAGTTTTGAGGATGTTGATCCCGTACTCAAGACACTGTCCATACCACGCTTCAGTATGATGCCAGCTTCTGCAAGGTTTAAAGGTAACAGATTTGTGTGTGTTTGTGTATGTAGAATGTTGTATGGTGTTGGTTTAAAGGGCAAGCATTAAAAAACACTTAGATCAATGCTAGGGGCTGGTTTTACAAAAAAAAAAAAAAAAAAAAAAAAAAAAAAATTAAATTGGACAAAAAATCCATAGGAATTGACTTAAATAAAGAATTGTCTGAAACATTAGAAATGTTTTTTTTCTGGTTATAAAACTGGCACAATATTTTTTAAAATTAAAGCACCGATTTATAAAAGTTAAAACAAGGTTAATTCAGTAGAAAAATGTGCACTCACGTCTCACAAATTTTAAGGTGCCAGTAGATTAAATTAAAGTTAAGCAGTTAAATTTAAAATATATGTATTTTTAGTATTTCATTTTCATGCTTATCATCATTTTTATAATTATATTGTTGTGACCGTTTTCTCAGTCCATAATAACTCCCTATTCCTTGCTGTTGATACACCATCAGTATTGAAAATACACTAAACTCAGACTCTGATTTGATCATTTATTTGATTCAGCTGACCCAAACAAATACCTTCGAGTAGTTCTTGTCTACTTCCTGGGAGGATGTACATATTCAGAGATCACAGCTCTTCGTTTTCTTGGCAAAGTCAAAGGTGGGTACAAAAAAAACATTGGGTTTTAAGGCAATCTTCTACATTCATGTGGTTGTTTACCGATAAAACAGGGTATAAAAATATGGCTATAGGTTGTTTTATGCCCAATGATTTCACACAGAAAGCAAGTTAATCAGTGTCAGCATGAATTAAGTCCTTCCAACCCTTTGCCTGCTGCATGATTTAGAATACAACAGTAAATCAAAATAAGTGGCTCACAAGTAAATAACGAATAAGGAAAAAATTGCTTGCAATATTTGACTTTTTTTTTCAGGTTACAAATTTATAATTGCTACCACTTCCATAATCACAGGAGCAAGGTTGTTAGACCAAGTGACTGAAGTAACTCCCAAGTGAAACCAATTCATTCCAGTTCAACCTGATGTGCAATATTTAGTGAGGTTACCAACAACTTATTTTTTTACAAATGTGAGTCTAATACTTTACATGTTACTGGCAGTAGTACAACAACTGAAAACAATTAGGAAACTACAAGTAACAGAGCACAGAATGTGTTCATGTAGCCAAGTTGGTTATGGTACCTTGAGCATAAGAACAAAATTAAAAAAGGACATTTCTACTCATTAAAAATGGCTTTAAAAAATATAACTGAGCTACAGGGGTGTATGATCAAATGTTATACACCATGTATGGATGGAATAAAGATTTAGACACACCCATGTCCAAGGGATCCACAGTTCCCACAAGTCTTCTGTGTAGACAACTTCATTGTCCTCTCATGCTTTAACATATTCATAGAAAGAATGGTATCAAAAGTATGATCAAACAAAAAAGCTTGCATCAGATGAAAAAGTCTCTTTAATGGTGTTTGTCACACAAATAAATTGCTTATCAGCTGCTTGTTAAGCAGTCACTTCACTTATCATTACACATGAATGCATAATTTTATACCTTCTGATATACAGTGTTGAAGTTTTTGTATAGCTCAATGAGGTATGGCCAGACCATGTCGTAACAATAGTTGCCAGATTAAGATATGATTTTAGCATCCACTGCTGTAGTCGTTTTACTCATTATAAAATGTGGATAACTGGTTTTTGTTATTAAATGTAAGCATATTTGCACTTATCCAGAGTGAAGATTGCACTTGAAGAAAAATGTTTCAGTCTTTGCTCCCAAGCTCTTTGAATATTTCTGGGAAGTTCTTTTCTTTTCCATGAATGAGCTTCAAAAATAACTCCTTTTGTATCCTAAAAAATGAAAATGAAATCTTTTGAACGCTAAAATGTTACTTCTAGCAAAATTCAAAATCTGCTAGGAAACTAATATATTTTAGATATTTAAAATCAAAGTTTGATTCATTTGTAAATCTAAACAGCATTAAAAATTACTTGAAAGTATTATACAAAACCTAGCTTGATGTAGAACATTTTAACTGGACACACACCTTTTCTCCTCTAATATCCTCTCAAGTTCATGAGATTTTCTTGTGGCTACTTGGATGACATTTTCTGGTACATCTGCTAATCTGGCAACATTTAGACCATAGCTTTTTGCTGCCATGCCTGGCACTAAGTGATACAGAAATGTGACTGTATCACTGGTGTTGTCTTTCTCTTCTTTCTTTTCACCTAAATGAAAAATAAAAGGTGCATGTGTGTGCAAGTGTCACTTAACTTATGCAGGTTTGTTTATCAAGTATCTGTTAACCAAATATTGTAGGTTTAACCAATAATATGAAAATTGCTACAATATCAGCTCACTATTTATCTGCTTTCACACAGGCAGATAAGACAATTTTAACTATTCAATTCAGAGAGTATCAAATATTAAAATATATACATAAACTTTGAACTAAACTGTGAAACAGGCCCTAGTGACATGTACTCACTTGAAGTTGTGTCATTGCCCAGCATAAATGACATGTGGTAGTTGGCCACACAGCCAGGCAGCAGGGTCTCCAGTGTGGACAGGATAGGATAGTGGGTGACAAACAGTGTCAAACATTTCACCTACAGCAACAAAAGTACACCTTATTAGCTAACAAAGATTTTTTGTCTTTATTTTATTTATATGTATTATATTAATAACATGATTCTAAATGTAAAGTAATAATACTTCAAATCTTATCACAAAAAATTATATATTATTTAAGGTGATCTTCATATAAGTATTATATAAACAGTGCAACAATTTCTCAATATTTAACATAATATGAACTTACTTCTTCCACAAAGTATCTGAGTGTAGCATAAGCAATGGCCACACCATCATGTGTACTAGTGCCACGGCCCAGTTCATCCAGTATGACTAGGGACTGCTCTGTGGCATGAGACATGATCTCTGAGGCCTCTTGAAGTTCTAGCATAAATGTACTGCAGTGCTGGTATATGGCATCTGAAGCACCCATTCTGGTGAAGGGGAAAAGAGAATGAACCTATTATGCTTTAAGCACTTCTTAAAAATTTGAAATATTAAAAAAAAGTTAAGACTCATCAGTTGTTTGAATGAAGCACTAATTTACTGCAATTTATCATGACATAGGCATAAAATCTGAGAATATTTAATCACAATTTAATATCCTACAAAATAATTATTTCCATAACTTGTGAACATCACAACAGTCACAAACATCCTAATCTTGGTATTATAAGTCTTCCTGAAGTATTCACAGTTCTCAGCCCACCTTGTATACACAGCATCCAGGATGCCCACAGTCGCAGCTTTGGCAGGAACATAGGAACCGATCTGGGCCATGATGGAGATCAGCGCCACCTGCCTGATGTAGGAACTTTTACCGCCCATGTTAGGTCCTGTGATGATCATGCAACGCTCGCCACTGCCCTGAGAATAACAAAGTTTATTATTCACAAAACAAAATGTGGCATGACAAACTGGCATGTCTGTTTGCAATTTTCTGACAGATTAAAATTTTGGGGACAAAATACTCTATGTAGTGTTCTCAACAACTTCCCTTTCTTGCTACCCAATGTGAACTATATCTGAACAAGTCTGCGAGTAACACCCATTGTAGATCACTTCTTGCCATCTCTCATTCTCATGAATCTGTGTTACAATAAATGTCACATATTGCTATAACTGCGCAATGTACATGGTGTAAACATTGTATATTTAAGATTTACATATCTTAACAATTCAAAAAATTGACACAAAACACTTCCCTTGGGCTTGCATCCTCTCAGACTATATGATACTAAACCAAAGTTGTATTCCTCTCCAAGGCAGTATTAAACATGCGGGTTAGTCTATTCTTCAAATTTCAATGATACCAGTGAAAGAAACAGTAAAATAGACTCTAAAATACACAATATATAACCACCAGTCAGTGTCTTCTTACATCTAACTTAGTCCCATTGGGGACATACTGGTCCTGCCCATCAAGTAGTAAGTCAACCACAGGGTGGCGTCCTTCTTCTATCTGAATCACTGCCTGGTCTTTTACAAAAGTTGGCCTACAAAAAACAACTCTCAGTTTAAGCTACCTAACAATATGGCTAAATAGAGTAAAATAAATCTACTGGCCAGTTTGTCTGTCTGCATAAAATATTTTTTCAAAAAAGTTGTGGCAGCTGGCTTAGATGCTAAATCAAATCATTTGAAGTTCAAAGGCTTTTTCTTAGAGGTAGATACAGCTGTGATGTACTCGTAACTAGTCAAATTAGTGTTTGTACTTTTTAGGTTCTAAACATGTTTTATAAGCTACCCAAAAGAAAGAAAAGACCAAAGAAAACTTTCATGTTGTATAAATCATGAACTGTCACCAATTACAGTAAGATTGAATAATTCAGACAATGTCAAGAGTTAGCAGTTAGCTTACAAATTGTAGTAGAAATTGACAAATTTAGAATATAATTTAGTAAAGGCAATTTTTTAAATGTAATCTTTGAGAGTTCTAGTTTTATATGTTGACTTATTAATGTATTGAAACGTATCACTTTAAATTCAACTGCTATATGGTAAAGGAAATAACTAACCGTACATAGCCAGCTAACTTTGCCACTGTAGCTAAAGAAAAGAGACAGTCCAAAGTAGCCAAGTTGCCAACAGCAGTCCTGTATGCCAAATAGTGCTCTCCAAACTGTCTGGAATTATAATAGTAATCATACTCAAACTCAGAATATCTGTCATCCAACAGACTGAACTTAAGTCTTTCCTGGTACAATATTACACTGTATCATAAAATTTCACTTCACTTAACTGTATTTTTCTACTGAACTTCTATAAATCTTTTTATTATTTTGAATCGTTTTATTATTTGAAAATAATAAGTGTATAAAGTAACACAAAATAAATAAATGAATAAAGTTAGATAAAATGAAAAACTTTTCTTACTCAAGAAATTCAAGCCAAGCTTTGTTACACTCGTGGATCAACTGCTCTCTTAGTTCATTCAGTTTCTGGTATGCTTTTACAATAAATGGGGAGTGGAACCGACTAACTGCTTTAGTTCTGTAAGGTGAAAATACACAGCTTGGACAGATTAGTTTTGTAATTTAGAAGTAATAACGATCATAAATTTTGCACCAAGATGTTTTAGGTGCATTCCAACATTTACGCTAGCATTATCAATGTAGTATACTGCTTTGTAATGTCTTCAACATGTGTATCATACATTTTTCAATTGTGCTGACTTTTACACTACTCTTTGCAAGCTTATGTAGAGCATTTTTATCAATAATTTTAAATAAGGTCTAATACGAATAATCCAATCCCTCCAATCATTCAATTAATAGACTCACATGCTAATTTTTTTCCAATCAGACGGCACTAACTTCAAGTTAGAATTTTTCACTTCTATTAAGAACTTGAAGAAAAGAAAAAGGAAAAAGTGAATAGCCATTGCATTGTTATCAACATTTACCACAAGGAAATTTGGTAATCTACTTCTCCCATTAAACAGAGTTGCCATTATAAAAATGTACATTTTGTTTTTTGAAATATTCACACTTCACCTTAGGTGGATATAAGAAAGACATTTTGATTTACAAACAAAGTTAATGAAAAATTATCCCAGTAAGTTAAACATAATCCAGAGCAGGGGCCTTACCTCCTGACCTGACACAGTTACATAATCCAGAGCAGGGGCCTTCAATGTCAGACGTACATCTCTGCGATGATTGTGAATGCTTGTTGTGACCTGTGCTATCTCTGCCTTTATCCTCACCACATCTGGGAACTGACTCTCGTCAGTGATCAGGTTACACTTGTCACCTTCCCTGAAATTAAATTATGATATCTTATACCATAGATGAACAAGACTGCCTGCAAAATGCTATGATACCATAAATTAAAAAAAAAATTGTACCAAGTTTACACAAGTATTAATAAAAGTAAATGTAAGAATGGATAAATACTGGCACACAACATGCATCACTTGACCGCATTTTGGAATCATGTTTAACAAGCAACATTATGTATTCTCTCTATTCAAATTCTAGTTGAGCAATGTAGCAGTTTTTTTCTCCGTATATTTCTGGTTATGTCCACTTACTTGGCTGCTTTCTCATTTATTGCATTTGATAATCCATGTATGCCCTCTAGTAACACAGGTGTTTGTTCAAATATTTCTCTCAGCATGCATGCTGATTGCTGACTGGACATTAAGCCTCTGTGTTCATGAAGTAAACTCTGTATTCTGCTCAAGGACTGGGTCACCCTGAGAAACTCTAATGTTGAACACTGCAGGAATAAAATATCAAAACAATGTAACATATTTCTTTCTTTCTATTTTATTAAGTGTAAAACATAAAACGATCTACACTATCTGCAATTTACCCTTTATATGTCATAATTGTTTATTTTATATCTGGTTCTGGTTTGTGACCTTATTCTGCATATGTTCACTTGAAATCTTATTATGTATAATCATACAATATTCTTACTCTGTATTTCAAGTACCTGTAGTTTTTTCCTGAGAATGAATCTCAAAATTACACTAACCTTTTTGTGATATATAGTGCAGAGACCCTTTTCCAAATCTGGTAATTTTCTCAATTCCTCTCTCATTCTACTCAGAGCTACACATTCTGATGTCATCAGCTCTGTTACTGCATCTAGACGGTCATTCAGAGCACTTAAATATAAAGACAATTTTTTTTTGGTATTCTGAGAGGGTGGAGTCATATAGACCAAATTCATGTCATTAAGAAAACTCAGTTGCTTTCTAGCATTTCTTGAATATAACACTGACTGTAATGAAAAATTGCTCTTTTTTATTTATATATATATATTTTAGACCTTCTCATGCATTTATGATCACACAATCTTTTAATATTCTATAATACCTTACATCCAGCAATGGCTGTGCCACCCATTTCCGCAGAAGTCTGTCACCGAACTTGGTGAGTGTGTTGTTCAGAACCCAGAATAGACTTCCTCTCTCACCTTGATCTGTGATATTTNCAAATATTAAGGTTTTCATTCCATTATCCATGCGCAGTACATTCTGAAGGGTGGTTACCTTTATTTCCATTGGAAGTGTAAAACTCTGCTACACACTGAAGAGCTCTGCTGTATTCAAACTTATCATTTTTCTGATGTTCCACTCTACATCTGTCACTGTCATTAACACTAAAACATAAAAATTTATACAACAAATACAATCAGTGAAAATATACTGTACCGAGCAATAGTGTTTTGACTCTACCTAGATGTTAACCCAAATATAACAGTAAATATGCAAAAAAATAAGTTCTGGTAAACATACAAAAATTGAACAAACTATAAAAGCATATAAAACTGTACACAACATGACTTCTGTATGATTAATAAAAGAAAATAATTAACACAACCTTTTTTATAATATCATGGCAGCATTTGATTACAAAATTAAGGTTTTGTATTTTCTTTCTTCTAAAAATGACTCTGAATATCCTAAGCCACCCTGATTTTCAGAGATTACTGGAAACAACAGTGACATGCTGATAGTGGAAGTTAGTTTCCAGTAATCTCTGAACCTCAGGGTAATCATAGCTCACCATGAACTGGTATAATGGCTAATGAGTTTCTTCGTTTCCTGACTACATGCCAAAGGAAGGAGGATCTCCACAGGCTGAATGACGCCAAGTCTGGTCTCCAGCTCTGTTCTAGAACTGTTGTCTGTGAAACTGTCATATATGATATCCCCTGTAGATGGCTGCACAGCCTTAAACAGAATTATAAATGGAATATTTCAGTTTGCCTTCTCCACAATGATGGTTAATCTAAGACTGAAAATTAAACAGCTAATTTTGCATGCTGTACAATAATAAATAAATGAATCACATTTTGTCCATGTCTTCATTTAAATGAATAAATAAAAAATATTTTAATTATTTATTTAGTAAAACTTTCAAAATAATATAAATAATAAAAAAAAAAACATTTGTGGCATATAATACAGATAAAATAGTTTTCTTAAAATTATGATATGCTCCATGATTTTCATTGAAGTGGACCTTCCAGACAGCAAAATTTAGAACAGTGACAAGCTTGCACCTACCACACAGCCTAATGTGATATTGCCTCTGCCTTCTTCCTTCATCTGAGCCTCACACACACACAGCAGGTAACAGTTGGGGCTCATATCACCTGATGTGCTGACAGAACAAAGTGGATCTACATCTACCAAAAAAAAAATAAATTAATAATAAATTAATTAAAAATCAGGATTATAGAGCATTACAAGTTCTGGATTTCTTTATTTTCAATATATTAAGTACATTTCACAAAAAATTGTTTAGCCATTTGTTTAATTTACATTAACAAAGTGCATTTTGTGTACATGTAAATGTATTTTAGTCTATGGTAAAACAATATTTTCTAATTGGTACTTTGGTAAAACAGCTGTAAAGATGCTTTATTCATTCATAATCAATTCTGATGATACCTTCACCAATGAGAGTAGACTTTGTATAAAGAGCAGAAAGCTCCCTGGTGAACGGTGCACTCTTGTTCTCTCCTGCAGCTTTCAGGGCTGCTGTCTCTGTCTGCTTTACCACTCCCACCTGATCCAAAAGAAAATAGATGGGCTCTTGAAATATTATATGGTGCTCTATAATATAAAACTGAAGATATCAATCTCAATGTAACACAATTATTAGTATTATGTAGCCAGCAATTTCAAAGAGGGGGTTCTTTTTTGGAAAAAGTAGACCTTTTACTATGAAACTTTCATGAACCTATATCAAATTTTACCAAGAGTGGACCTTCTCAGCAAAAAGGATGGTTCTTTCCAACCCCCCACCCCTCTTTTCCTACAAACCATCTCTTTTCAAACTGGTAATAATTTCATTTCAATGAAGTTCAGTTTCAAAAACCTTTGGTTCACCTTGTAGCCAGCTGCCACCAGTCTCCTCACATGAACAAACAGACGGTGGGTTGGTATGCTGGCTGTCATGAAGTTATGGTCCATATGGCAGTAAATGTTCAATTCTTTTGCTGCAATCTAAAAATGAGAAACAGAATTTTGAATTTTAGTTCACAGAACAATTTCTTCTTAAAAAATAACTTATAAAAAAGTTTACGGTGCCTAGCTCAATAATTTTGTTGAAATATTATACATACTTCAACTTAGCAATGTTCTTTTTCTTCCTGTCAAGTATTGTCTTTCAAAAATTAGCGTAACTTCCTTCCACCATTTTTTTTTAATGAGGGTGAAACCACTTAAAACTGACAATGAATATGATTTGACACAAGAGCAAGAGATAACAGATGGTCACATTTACTGTATAAATGACCATACCTCTGCATCATCTCCAAAGAACCTGTATTTATATCCACATTCCACAAAAAGCACAGTGTGTGGGTGTTTGCTCTTGATTTCCATGAACTGCAGCTCCAGAGGTGTGTACTGGGACTTGGACCGCTGGTTAACTGTGGCACCATCTTTAGACCTGTCGCCATGTCCTCCTTTTACGCCTGATTTAAAAGTATTCTGCAAAGTTAATTTGTCACTTTGCTGGGAGCCTTCACCATCACTGCTAACAAGGTTTAGTGAATTTTCAAAAGATAAAGCATTTGTCCCTTCACCATCAGATTTGATATATCCGTCATCTTGGGCAGGATGGGTATCTTCAGCAAACCCAGTCAAGGCATTACTTTCACGCTGTTTCGGTTGCTTGGAGTGAGTATCCCAGTCTTTGGTTGCTGAAAAATTCTGGAGCTTAGATTTAGTTTTTGCCGAGACTGGTCTTGGGGGAGTGACATCTTCATGGTTTTTTGTATGTGATGACACTGGTGTTTCACAATCCACATCTGACTTGGTTGACATATCACATTTTTGCCTCTTTGGCAAATTTTGTTTTTCAGTGCTAACATCATGGATAAGTCTCTTCTTTCCCACTCCTTCACTATGGACCTAAAGAGCAGAATTACCATTATTTAAGTGGTCCTGTACATGCATTACTTTTCTTCATAGTGTTTTTGAAATTCCTGTTTTATAAAAACTGGTAAATTAATCTCAGTTTTTTATAGGTTGTAATCAAACTGCACATACTGTTCAATAGCAAATTCAAGAATTGACAGTGTCAGACATGAGCTTAGGTTTCAAAAAATTAAAATAAATAAATAAATAAAATGAAAAACCTCTGAACATTTATCATGGGACCCAACACTAACCAGCAGTGGGTCTGAATTGAATTAAAAAACGTGAAATTCCGCGGAAAAAGCTCACGTCTGAGTGTGGACACCATGAGTATAAAATACTAGAAAGGGCAGTGACATGTTTATAGTAGAGAGGTGAGTTTCCAATGGCCTGGGAAAATCAAGGTAATATTTTTCTATATAAATAATAAACATCATATGTAACACCATTATACCGGTCAGTACAGCATAACCATGCATGGATAAGGTGAAATAATTAAGGATCGGGATATGCAAAGTCCGACGTAATAACGTTATGTATCAAGAAGTGTGCAGGAAGAATACGGCCAATAAAAGTTGCTACCTTCCTCGCTTCCACCGCCGGAATCGAGTTGCATGTTGATGGTGAAGCTACAGGTTTGTTTACATCAGCAGCATCGTCTTTTTTCGGTTTTACACAGAAAAACTTTGACAAAGTTACTTGTTTCTTTGATGGGTCTCTTTCTTTTAGTTTGCTTAAGTTCGGTGTCTTCGGCATTTTGCTGCCAGTGGAGGGCAACTCACGCGCATCAGGGATAGTTTTGCATTTACTCCAGCATCCAGAGCGTGATCGTGTTTCGCGCCATTTGCACTACGGCATTGTGGGACAACATATTTGATGATTGGATAAGGTAAGGAAACGCTTCATGCATGTGTATCTATATTAAATGAAATGTAACATAGAACCAAAGTATTGGTTATGAAGTCCTTATGAACAGTTGCAAATGAATAAGCAGCCACATCTAATTACGCTTTGAATTTGATTAATTTGAAGATTGTCTGGATCTGTCATTGCTTCAACTCCGCAATGAATTGGATTTTTCCAAATTCGTAAATCTCGTTTATCTCTTATGTACAAGAATTCATTTTTATGTACGAGGAAGACTATGACTTTGTATTTAATATAGAAATTCATGTAAAAAGTAAAAGCTTGTCGAATAAATAACGTGCCGGTACCGGTGCATATTATACTTCAGTCTTGATGCTGTGTTCATATACTCCAGTACATGTATATTTATTACACTGACAGCAGGCGAGGTATCAGTTTAGTGACCATGGCTAACCCAGCTGCCAAATTCCCAAACCGAAGGGTCACTTGTCCTGGGCTGCGGACAGCCCCACCGTCTGACCAGGTACTGGACAGGATGATCAGTGACATTGACTTACAGTTGCAGGAAAATGCTAAACAGTAAGTACTAGTATAGTCAGTCCTATAATTATTATGAGTAAAATAAGTCTTTTAATTAAAATCAGATAATCTGTCTAATTTGATGGCTTTTATTCACTGGCAGATTAAGGGGTGGAGAGGGGTTACGGACGGGGAAAGGAGGGGAATGTCCCCCCCCCCCCCTCCGTCGTTTTCAATAATTCCACCTTTAAGTAATAATTTACTATTTTTTTGTCTGGACTGCTGACTCAGATATGTTTCAAATTACCATTTTAATTTTAATAAATGACCTAAGTATATAATCTAGCTGTCATATATTTATGTCACTGTTATATATATTTTATCCCCTTTACAGACTTGAAGGTTGCATTGAGGATATTCTGAAGTTAACCAGTCAGCTCCCTGGTGGACGTAACTTCACTCTGGCCAAGGAGGCTGTAGATTATACAGCCAATAGTCATATACTGGAAAAGAGCTCTTGTTATGATCCTGACCTGGAACAAGTCTCCAACCTTTTCAGACATGTGGTATGCAATTTAACAAATAGTAGCTTAAAGACTCCGAAAGGTCTCTGGTGTTACCCCCCTCCTTGTTTTATTAAGTTTTTGTTAGATTAATTGAAAAGAAAAGGGCAATGATTATTATTTTATAAAAATTTTAAAATGTGGACTTGGTTGAAATTGTTATCACTTCTTTCCCTCTTGAATAAGTAAACATCTTGAAAATTTAACTGCAATTTGTAAAGATTTTTTTGGCATATATATGTTAACAGACAGACACAGATAAGCAGGCAAACCATGCCAAGGAAAACATATCTTCCATCACAGGCAGAGGTACTGATGTATACATTAACATAGACTTATTTACATGCAATTTTGACATAATTATATCTATATACATATCTTTCCAGCTGCGCCAAATGGATGAGCACCCTGGCTCTGAAGAGGCCATCTTGGAATCCTTGCTCCAGCTGTCATCTCAGGAGGGGATAACACTCCCACTGCGCTCTGCACGAACGGAACAAAACTTGGACTCTGTTCTCTCTCTGGGGGCTATCTGTGACGTCAATGAACAGATCAGTGAATCTCTGTGGAATGACATCAAAATTCGCTTGAAGAAGTTTTTCCTTGATAGACTGAATAATTTGCCTTTGGAGCCTGACCTAAGTACAGTGAAAGTAGAAGGAGGGAAAAGGATGGACTATTTGAACAGTCTGTGTTGTCTGAATACTGCAGCAGAGGTGAGAAATACGTGATGGTAGATTGAATATGGTCTTTTGGATATGTACATGTGTGTGCACACGCACACGCGCACACACACACACACACACACACACACACAGAGGAAGGTAGATTGAATTCAAATAAGAAGTTAAAACTAATTCTCCTATTTAAAGTAATGTTTTTCAAATACTAGTACACTTTTGAAAACTACTCAGACTTGCAAATCTGAAAGACAATAAATTCACATTTATCTTCTAGGTGTGGAAGAGTTATAGATCTTTGCGATCCCAACAACTGCAGAGGATGATTAATAAAAATCTTTACACAGCTGAGGGGAATATGCTGGAGTTTGAAGCTCAGTCCACGGCTTGGGAATCTCTCAGTGCCACTGTTATTAGTATGATCAACGAGGACTTTGCTATTCTGAACTCTGGCATATTTGCAAGGGTTGTCACAACCTTTGAGTGCCTGCACCTCATTTACCAAGAGAGGCTGTCTGAAGAAATCGGAAACATTGCAGAAAGACTTCAACACGAGTTGCCAGGGCTGGAGGAGCAAGCTTCTGCTGCTCCCTCTAGTGAGAGGAAAATTCCAAAGTCGGAATCCAGACATGAGTTTGGTCCTGTAGCTAATGTGAAATCTTTACTGAGATCACACTCAAAGAGTTTGGACAGTCTGTTAGTCAAGGGTGACCTGTTTCCTGATGTCAGCAAGTCAGAACCTGTTTTATATTGTTTTGTCCGGCTGGTCAGAGCTGTGTGTGCCATTGAGAGCCATATTGATGACCTGCACAAGACTATGATCTGGGAGGTGGTGAATAAGACCAAAAAGAAAACAAGTACTCAGAAGACAGGAATCAGGGGTAAGCTGGATTCACAAAATAACTTAAGTCCGAAAATTGGGCTAAACTTTTAGATCAAAATTTTTGCTGAATAAGTCGAAGATATATAAAATGATTTAATTGGACTAGCACTGATTTATCTTGTTCAAACTAACCTATGTTCAGGACTGCGGGTGGGGCTCTTTTGAGAAACAGGCCCCTGGACATAGTTTTTTTCACAAAAGAACTTCACTTATAAGTGAAAGATTAAAAAAATTGAAGTTGTTGGAGATTAAGTTAAGTAAGCTAGGCTGAATATAAAAATGAGATCTTTTACATGACTGTTTTAGCTCAAAAGTATATCAGCAAGATCAGATTGATGATATTTGGTATAGTGTGGATTTGTTTGTTAATTTGTTAATTTGTTACTTTATTTACAGGTGTATTGAAGAGTGGAAGTACATCTGAGTTGGCAACACCAAAGCAATCTGTGGAAGGATTTTTTGGCAGTTTAAGTCTTGATGATTCACTAACAACTAGTCTTCAAGGTATTTAATGTGTGATTGTTGTGCCAAGAGAGTTTTTCTCTCTTCAAAACGAAAATTGTGTAAGATTAAAAATTGCTATTTACTTAATTTTACAAAAGTGGGGATGAGTAACAGCCTTAAAAATATTTTTTGTCTATATAACCTGTAATATCACCTAGACTCCCTTGTATATGTTTCGTAAAATATTTTGTTCAGCATCTGTATTCATGCCAATTTTGCTGTCTAATTGAATTTTTCTTGTATCTGATTCAGTGGTTGAGAAGGTGCCAGAAGAAGAGAAACCTCGCTGGAAGTGGCGGCGCTACTTCAAACCCGTGCTACCACAGCTAGCCAGGTGTCTGGAACAGTGCATACGCAATGCTGGCACCCAGGCAATGGAGGCAGAAAAACAGGCAGTGGAGACATCTGGTGGGCATGTTGATGCTGAGAGGGTGTGCCCTCTGCTGGTGGGAGGAAGACTGGACTACCCAACCTGTATTCCTAAAGTATGTGTTCCAAGTTTTAGCTGTGTTTGAAATGCGACCTTGTTTCCTATGTTTGATCTATATATCATGGCAGAGGTGTAATTCAAATCAAGAGGTTTGAGAATACACAACTTATTAATCTAAAGCCTGTACCTTTTGCCTGCCTGGATCCTAAATTAATATAAATATAATCTTTGTGGCATATGGAGTAGAATAAGGTGGTATGGTATAATTGTCATTAATCTTTCATTTATAAAAGAAAAATGTATATTTAATTATTTTATTTGGTAGTATTGATACATTTTAGAGTGTTCAGCAGTTCATGTCCAGTTTAGACAGAGTGTTACCTCTAGCTTACCACTGGTCAGAGGGTCAGTATCAAGTGATCAGGACTACTTTTGTAGATGCTACAGTTCTCCAGCTGAAGGATTTCCACAGATGGATAACAAAGGTGAAATGAGGATACAATGTAGTACTGTAGTGATTCTTGACTTCCTGTATATAAATACCCAGTATATACATGCAAAATTCTATATAATGCACTACAATATACTTGTCCATCTGTATTTAATGTGTAACTTTACAGTTTTACTTCCTCAGGGATGGGATTTTTCCGACTATCAGCAGATTTCCGACTTTTTGGGGACAAAATATCATTGGCCTAGGCAGCCCCCTGGACCCCATGCCATATTTTTTAACTTTTTCACTGAACGGCCGCCTCATCCCTGTTTATTGCATACTGTTGAATGTTTCAGCTTGGCCTAGAAACTCCAAAGGAGAAGACAATACTCCAGACACTGTACTTGTCTCTGTCTGCAGCTGCCTTTATCAGAAATCATCTCCTCCATTATGAAACAGTATTAACTGGAGAAGACACCAGGTAACCTCAAACAATGGCCACTGTCATGTGAAATTATCTTAAAACACATGTATTTTATTTTTGTTTTCATTTTATTGTTTCCACCATTTTACAGCTGAGTGGGACCTAAAGTTTGAGATTTCATCTTTCGATCCATGTCTAATTCTTGTTGTGAAAGAGTGTAAGAGATTTTACTTTCAAAATAAACTCCTGTTGCCTGATGAAGATTGAAAAAAATGTGTCAATTATTACACTGCCCAAGTGCCCTGTACACTAAAGGAGGTGTAGAATAAGAAATGGCAGTAGTTGCAGTAGTTCCATGCCTTTTTTCTGTCTTATCAAATTTAGAAGTTGCTTTAGCAAATTAAAAGCTTGATAGCTCTTTTATGAAAAAAAATGGTTAGATGTACTCTTAGT